TATATATACTGTATATATACATGCATCAGTGTCTCTTAAATGATTATATTTCATTTTTTAATATTTTTCCCCGAAGTCTATTTATTTCCATGTGTTGCTTTTACATTTCTCTGTCTCCTGTATTTACATCTCCTTATGCATTTCTGCCTCATTATGCAAATAAGGTGGGTGGTCCTTCTTGGCTCAGCTCCTCACCTGTTGGTCAACAGACAGGAAGGAGCAGGATCCACTGTGCATGCTTGTGCTGCATCAGTTTCATGTAAAGTTTAGTTAAAAACAAAGCACAGGTATATGTTTTCCTCCTTGCATTTATACATTTCTGCTTTTATTTTTATTTATGTCAGATTAGGTCCTCCATAGTAAACTGACCATTTTTTAAAAATCCTGTGAATTACAGGCAAGAACTAGAGCAACATTTATTATCTTATAGAAAAGAGCATTTTATATTTGGAAAAAGCATGGTCCTGTTGAGAATCTCATTTGATTTGAGCGCCAAGGTGGCAGGACTCTGATAAACATTTAATTGTTGTTCAGGCACCACTGATTATTTGCTGTATATCAAGGTAATGTGAAAGAGTGATAAAGTGGGGTTATTTAGCAAACATTTGATAATTCAGATTAAAAAAACAATGAGTGCAGTTCCTCCTGTGTTTTGCATTCTCAGCAGTTTTAAAGACTGAAATATGAGAGCCTTACCAGCTGTGTTGGAAGTCACTGGGCGGGAATTCCCATCACATTTGGTCTCGCAGAGGAAATCGTCGATGGAAGGGCTTAACAGCGGCCGGCTCTCTTGTTGCTCGCTCACCAGCTGTAAGGACAAATGGATGAAGACAGTTCAAGCTCCAACATGGCATGTTTCTGTGAAACTCAAGTTAAATCCTCTGCAAATACCCCAACCCCCCACATTCTGACAAATCCCTGCATCAGAACAAAAGTTTTTTAAGGAGGAGAACACTACAGTTTAGTTACACATTTTTATTTAAAACAGAATTATTCATTTTGAAAGGGAGGATGTCATAAATTTTAAATTAGCTATTGATTTAAAATCAATTTTTAATGGTTCAGAACTCATAAAATGATTTTAGATTTTGTTAAAACAATTTAAAACACTCTTTATAATTTTTTTTTCATTTAATTGTTTTTATTTTTGCTAAGAATCCTGTTCATGAGCGTTCTGAAGGTCTATATGTTAAACATTTAGTTATTTACTATAAATGATCAAAATGACATACCATTCATATTTTAAATCATGCCTTTAGTTAGTTTTTCTAAAGTGTTTGCTTCAAAAACATAAGTTGCTCCTATTTTATTCTTAACATCTGTTAAAACATTGAGATAAGAAAACAATAACAGAAATCAAACCTCTCTTAAGTTCTCTTAAATAATATTTCAATATTTTATTATAAATTAAAATTTAAAATGACTGAAAAGCTGAATAGATTTTATGTTAAAACAGTTATTTGAATTTTTGTGTTTTTTTCTTATCTTCCCTCTAGCTTTCTGAGGTTCTCCTGGCGGTCCTCCAGGGGCACCCCACTTTGAAAACACTGAACTAAAGGATAAAGCATTGTTCAGGTCTCTGCTGGACTTTTTTTTTCAGTTTCTAGATAGATAGATAGATAGATAGATAGATAGATAGATAGATAGATAGATAGATAGATAGATAGATAGATAGATAGATAGATAGATAGATAGAGATTACTGCATAGAAATCTAAGATACACAAAAGCCAAAGTTACTGAGAACAACATTTTAATGTTAACATGCACACTAAACATCGCAACATTAAAAAAGTTTGTCAAAGTGTCTAAAAATGTAATTCTGCTACAGATAGATGAACAGGTTACTAAAGTTCATGTACAACATTCTCACCACACAATCACTAATGACCACTGAACTATGCTGCACCTGATCGACACGTCCCAGCAGTATTTATTTGACCATCACTGCACAGTTCACCTWCCAAACCATGAAAATATTCGTCCCTCACGATGCATCAGTTTGGAACGAGCTACTTTCAGTTCATTATCAGCACTCTGACGCCTCGGTACACTCCAGGTGCAGCTGGAAACAATTTACCAGCCAATCCTTCATAATTCAGAGGTGAATAGGAGTTTTAGGCCTAAAAAGATGGAGAAGTTGCCATTACAGTWGCTTGCCAGCCCGTGTAGAGTAATGGTGATGAAACATCGTGGTCACTAGTGTTGTTCTCCTTGCTGCGCTTGCAAACAGAATTTAACAATAATGCAGAGGGTTAAATTATAAGGGATGAAACACAATCTGACATATGCCGGCTGAAAACGGATGGATTCAAAACCGTACGCATTATATATGTGTGTATCATGCTTATATGTGAAATGATAAACAATAAAGATTTATCCACTGCCAATCTTTTGTTTTAATCTTGAAATTTACCACAGACTCRGCTAACAAGAAGCTAACACGATGATTAATGTATGAATTTAGTTTTACTCCATTGTTTTTACTTTATTATTATAGACATTTGACAAAAAGATGGACTCAATGATGAGGTCGAGCTTAAGGAGAAACCTTGCAGTTTTCAGGAATCTTTTGAAATAAGCATAAATATAAACCCAGAGAGGTCACCTCTTTGTTGTGTGAGAGTTTGTGCTGCGCTGTGAGAAAGCTGACCCAGGAAACGTAATTAKGCAGTTTGGGAAATTGTGCTGGTGTCAGAATAAAGATGTGGTTCACAGGAAGTCTTATTTTGTGAAGTAAACTGATTTCACCCCAGCTGCTGAGTGTTTGCTGAGGTCTTCACCACTGTGACAAATTATAGGGAGGGAATGAAGTGACTTTTTAAAAGAAAGGTCTTATGTATTCAGTCGTTTGTAAACTCTGTTGGATTATCTGAAGTTGATTGAGTCTAAACGAGGATTAAGTCACATTCAGCTGCCAGAGATGTGAGAAATTCAAGTTTTATTTCTTTGTGGCTTTAGACTTCACAAAATCTAAATAATGACCATAAAACTGCTGGCTTTGATGAGTCCCTTTAAATAGTTTGTCACCTTTATTGTAACCTTTTTTTTTTTACTATCAACTCACTGATCAGATAAAATGTAGGTTAAAACATTGTTTAACTAATGAACTGCCAACCTCGACAGTGAGAAGAGAGACTAGAAAGACCATGGATGGGCAACCGGAGGCCCATGGGTGACTTCCACACAGCCCGCCATTTTTTTAACTTAAAAAAAAAAAACATTTAAAGCAGCTCTTAGGACATTTATTCTTTCAAAACAGTTTACAGAATTTCAAGGCAAACCTACTGTATGTGTTTATAGTGATGCTGTCTGCCATGAAGGATTTTAATATAAGTTTCCACTACAACACGCTGCACAAAGCTAAATATGAGAAGTTTACTGAAGTCACAAGTACATAGCAGAGATTTTTTACCAGAACCACAACCGCAAAGGAGTCGGCACCACAGGTGTCTTATGCCGTTGTACTTCAGCTCGTTAAAGTAGTAATTTATTGTTTGTTTTAAACATTTTATATTCATATTTATTGAACAAAAGAACAACTGTTATACAWAAGTKACTGCATGKATGTTGGTTTAATAAACATATCTGCATGYGTGACTTCATTTAGTTTATGAGTAGTTACAGGTCCTATAGCAAATTATTCAATCTCAAAAGACAAAACAAACACATATTTAAGAGAAACATTCTAAACTTTGAACAAACTGCTTCATTGCACCTAAATGTATTTTTCAATTGACATTTTGTCTGGGAGGTCAGAYAATTATCTGTTTTGGTTTTAAGCTGAAAAAAGTTTAGTTTATTCATCAAACCTGTTTTTAAACAGACTCTGCTGAAGGTAAGATTTATGTTTAAGGATCTATAATGATTCCCAGTAATTATTATAGTAAACATTTAACGTTTTGCATAAAAAACATTACCAACAAACAAGACCAGACTGGGATTTTTAAGACAGGTTTTTTTAAATAAATGGCTGAAAATCTGAACTTTTTACACTGTATATATTAAAAATACATTAAATACTATAGTTTCATTTTCGTCACTTGAGACAGTTTAAAAATCTTTCAGCAATTTTTTTTACCACAATTGTTACCTCCGCCAAGGGGAGGAGGTAATGTTTTCGGTCACGTCTGTCTGTCTGTCTGTCTGTCTGTCTGTCTGTCTGTCTGTCTGTCT